GGGGGTGGGAGAGTTTCGTGGAGAGGAATAATGGGATTAGGTCAGGGGTTTCCCAAAAAGGTTAGAGCTAAAGAAGGGTAGCAATAATGTTGAAGGATAAGCTATGGCAGGAAAAGAGGGACTATAAATGTATTAATTCAAGGATTATGTGGAGTATAAATAAAGATTGGATGTGAAAAGTGGGTTATAATAAGCGTGTATGCACCTGGAGAAAAGAGAAGTTGTAGAGGAGAGAGAGAGATTTGGGAAAAGTTGAGTGAATGGTGGGGAGTTTTGAATCAAGTGTGGAGTAATGGTGGTTGGGGATTTTAATGCTAAAGTGGGTAAAAATGTTATGGAGGGAGTAGTAGGTAAATTTGGGGTTTCAGGGGTAAATGTAAATGGGGAGCTTTAATTGAGCTATGTGTAGAAAGAAAATTTGGTAATAAGTAATACTATTTTATGAAAAAGGGATAAAAAAATATACAAGGTATGATGTAGCACGTAATGAAAGTAGTTTATTAGATTATGTAAATTTGGGGGATAAAAGGTTGATGGGTAGGCTCCAGGATGTACATGTTTATAGAGGGGCAACTGATATATCGGATCATTATTTAGTTGTAGCTACAGTTAGAGTAAGAGGTAGATGGGAAAAGAGGAAGGTGGCAACAACAAGTAAGAGGGAAGTGAAAGTGTATAAACTAAGGGAGGAGGAAGTTCGGGTGAGAAAATAAGCGACTATTGGCAGAAAGGTGGGCTAGTGCAAAGATGAGTAGTGGGGGGGTGAAGAGGGTTGGATAGTTTTAAAAATGCAGTATTAGAATGTGGGGCAGAAGTTTGTGGTTATAGGAGGGTGGGGGCAGGAGGAAAAAAGGGGGTGATTGGTGGAAAAGATGAAGTAAAGGGTGTGATAAAAGAGAAAAAGGTAGCTTATGAGAGGTTTTTACAAAGCGAAGTGTTTTTAAGAAGAGCAGAGTATATGGAGAGTAAAAGAAAGGTAAAGAGAGTGGTGAGAGAGTGCAAAAGGAGAGCAGATGATAGAGTGGGAGAGGCACTGTCAAGAAAATTTTTAAAGAAAATAAAAAAAAAATTTTGGAGTGAGTTAAACAAGTTAAGAAAGCCTAGGGAAATATGGATTTGTCAGTTTAAAACAGAGTAGGGGAGTTAGTAGATGGGGAGATGGAGGTATTGGGGGAGATGGCGAGGGAATATTTTGAGGAACTTTTAAATGTTAAGGAAGAAAGGGGGGCAGTAATTTCATGACTGGTCAGGGAGGTTTTACCATCTTTTAGGAGTGAAGAAGAGCAGAATGTAAGTGTGGGGGAAAGGGACGTGAGGCATTACGTAAAATGAAAAGGGGGGAAAGCAGCTGGAAACTGATGGGATCATGACAGAAAAGTTAAAAGCAGGGGGGATATAGTGTTGGAGTGGTTGGTACTTTTGTTTAAATAAATGTATGAAAAAAGGGGAAGGTACCCAGGGATTGGCAGAGAGCATTTTATAGTCCCTTTATATAAAGGGAAAGGGGACAAAAGAGCTGTAAAAATTATAGAGGAATAAGCTTATGAGTTATACCAGGAAAAGTGTACGGTAGGGTTATAATTGAAAGAATTAGAGGTAAGACAGAAGTAGGATTGCGGATGAGCAAGGAGGTTTTAGAGTGGGTAGGGGATTTTGAGATCAGGTGTTTAAAATTGAAGCATATATGTGAACAGTATTTAGATAAAGATAGGGAAGTTTTTATTGCATTTATGGATTTTTGAAAAGGCATATGATAGAGTGGATAGAGGAGCAATGTGGCAGATGTTGCAAGTATATGGAATAGGTGGTAAGTTATTAAATGCTGTAAAGAGTTTTTATGAGGTAGTGAGGCTCAGGTTAGGGTGTGTAGAAGAGAGGGAGACTACTTCCCGGTAAAAGTAGGTCTTAGACAGGGATGTGTAATGTCACCATGGTTGTTTAATATATTTATAGATGGGGTGTAAAGGAAGAAAAATGCTAGGGTGTTTGGGAGAGGGGTGGGATTAAAATTTTTGGGGGAAATTAAAATTCAAAATGGGAATTGACACAGTTACTTTTTGCTGATGATACTGTGCTTATGGGAGATTCTAAAGAAAAATTGCAAAGGTTAGTGGATGAGTTTGGGATGTGTGTAAAGGTAGAAAGTTGAAAGTGAACATAGAAAAGAGTAAGGTGATGAGGGTGTCAAATGATTTAGATAAAGAAAAATTGGATATCAAATTGGGGGGAGGAGGAGTATGGAAGAAGTGATGTTTTCAGATATTTGGGAGTTGACGTTCGGCGGAGGTTTTTATGAAGGATGAGGTTAATCTAAAATTTGATGAGGGAAAAAAAGGTGGGGTGGTGCGTTGAGGTATATGTGGAGTCAAAAACGTTATCTATGGAGGCAAAGAAGGGAATGTATGAAAGTATAGTGTACCAACACTCTTATATGGGTGTGAAGCTTGGGTGGTAAATGCGCAGCAGCGAGGAGACGGTTGGAGGCAGCGGAATGTCCTGTTTAAGGGCAATGTGTGGTTTTAAATATTATGCAAAAAATTCGGAGTGTGGAAATTAGGAGAAGGTGTGGATTTAATAAAAGTTTTAGTCAGAGGGCAGAAGAGGGGTTGTTGAGGTGGTTTGGTCATTTAGAGAGAATGGATCACAGTAGAATGACATGGAAAGCATATAAATCTATAGGGGAAGGAAGGCGGGGTAGGGTCGTCCTCGAAAGGGTTGGAGAGAGGGGGTAAAGGAGGTTTTGTGGAAAGGGGCTTGGACTTCCGGGCAAGCGTGCGTGAGCGTGTTAGATAGGAGTGAATGGAGACGAATGGTACTTGGGACCTGACGATCTGTTGGAGTGTGAGCAGGGTAATATTTAGTGAAGGGATTCAGGGAAAAACCCGGTTATTTTCATATAGTCGGACTTGAGTCCTGGAAATGGGAAGTACAATGCCTGCACTTTAAAGGAGGGGTTTGGGATATTGGCAGTTTGGAGGGATATGTTGTGTATCTTTATATGTTTATGCTCTAGACTGTTGTATTCTGAGCACCTCTGCAAAAACAGTGATAATGTGCGAGTGTGGTGAAAGTGTTGAATGATGATTTAAAGTATTTTTTTTTTGGGGATTTTCTTTCTTTTTTGGGGCACCCTGCCTCGGTGGGAGACGGCCCCACTTGTTGAAAAAAAAAAAAAAAAAAAAATTTTATTTTATATAATATTTTATATATATATATATATATATATATATATATATATATTTTAAAATATACATATATATATAGAAGCGTTTGAGGGTCACTCAGTAGGAACTGAAATGATAATCTCCTACCATTCTTTACGCTTGACGTCCTCTTTCTACAACAGCCTCTTCAGACAAACATAAGGGCTGGGCATTAGTGTCCTAATCAGCAAGGTCTTGAACTTATGTGAGAAACACTGAAACACAGAAACTGAATGCCTCGCCAATATAATCCCCAACAACATCACATGAGCGTTATTCCTAAATGAGGTCCTCTTAATCGCCCTCATATTTTTTGTTATTTATAACCTGCAGAGACAGTTCAACGAACTTTAACAGGCAACCCTGCATTCATTTCGAGAGGAGACCAATGACAGAATGAGATTCATCGATGTCGTCATCTACAAACTGAATAATATCTTAAGATTCATAATCTACAAGAAGCCTAAAAGCAAAAATGACTTACCTTTTACAATTTCTACTTCAGTCAGTCAGCATCAGCTGTTCCCTGAAATTACACTAAATCTGCAGCCCAAAAATTTCTTGGGTAATGCTTCGACATACACCAATACCTCACCAAGAAACACTTTCCTTACTTTTTTTCACCAAAAACTGCAAAAAACAAATACTTCGCATCATCAACTCTACAATTACTGAGATCACTTTGTACAAAGTTTTCATCCTTCCCAACATTCAACTTGCCTAGAAAGTATTCGCACGAGTTAACACCAGAGTCACCATAGCCTCCAGCTCCTCCATGACAGACCTCACCAGGACCAAAACGGCAAACCTTAAACCAGCCGATTATGGGGTTTACATTATCCCATGTAGAGACCGAGATAAACAGCGCAAAACCTAGTGACGAGAGATGCGAAAACCTGAACAACTTTTTTTTAAAACTCCCAAACTTCACTAGTCACTTTATTAGATGGAATGAAGTTTGCTTAGGGTTTAATTAATGAACCGATCACCCACAGACACAAATGTCTAAATAAACCATTAATATCTATTTCAAACATATTTACACAGAACAAAGAAAGAAATAGGTAGACATATTAACAACAACCCTCCAAAAAACTACAAATCCAACCATCACCTTATCAAAACAAACCACTTAATCTACTGTTGCTGATGCTGCTGCTGCTGCTGCTGCTGCTGCTGCTGCTGCTGCTGCTGCTGCTGCTGCTGCTGCTGCTGCTGCTGCTGCTGTTGTTGTTGTTGTTTCCAGATAAGAGATCACTGCTACCTGCTCTGCTTCTGTTCCTACCACCACATAAGAAAACATCGCTTCTCTTTCTCCTTTATTGTTTTCCTTTCAATCTTCTTCTTCTTTTTCTTCTTCTTGACTTAGCTCAATTTTTCCATGTTCTCCTTATATAACCTCCTTACTCATGTATAGTGTGTATTGAACTGAAACTTCAGAAGAGCGAAACGTAACCTTAATGAATGTCTCAATACTTGCTCTTGTTTCGTTATATATTACATTATATTGAGTTATGTAATATTATACATTAAACACTGAGCCTCACTATCTACATAATTGTACAAGGTAACTATCTAGGTACTTATCAACACATTTACATGAGCTCGCATCTTTACTAATGGTAAGTCAACACTGCAGTAATGATGCTTCATTTATGTCTCCTTCAGGTGAGTATTATTATTAGTTTTGTTATCTTATGTGAAGTGCTTAACTGTAGTTAATATAGAATTTGTGAAGGGTTGATTCTCCATTCACTAAGCGCGATGCACGCTACATAGTCATATATTCTCCATCAGGCGTTGTGTGACATGGGCCAAGAGCCAGGTAGCTATGAAGGAGGATGGACACTGGTCTTGTGGCACTCCACCCAGTCATCTGATGACCTTCAGTTAAACCTGTCATCCTACACTGTGGGCTATGGCCAGCCCAATATTAACGCCCCAAAATCATATTTTATTGGTAGGTACTCTGTTATCTCAGTCACTCACCTACAAAATGCAGTGTGGGACGTGTAATCTTGTTTGAAATTTATGAGCGGGAATTAGGTATCTGATAAACAATTTCCTACAATGGTAGTCAGATTTGTTTTTTTTTTCCTTAAACTTTTTCGAGAGATAACTTAAGAACTTCTCTTTTTTATCGACTTCAAATTTTCAACACTGGAGTCTCTTACTTGGATGAAGATTTGTATTGACACTGAGCTGTGTAGGTGACAAACTGCTAATTTTCTGTTTAAAAATAGTGCAGAGATTTTCAAGCAATAACATGAGAAAACACTTTCTGACTGGCGTCAAACTTACAGCTCGAGTTTATTTTGCTCAAAGAAAAGATCATTGTTATTGGGCTGTGCACATTGCACTCTAACAGTTTTAATAAACACATTGAGCAATAACCAGAGAAAGGTTGGGATTGTTTGTATTCTTTACAGATGCTAATATGCCGACTTTGTTGAATATATTGGGATCTTGATTTCAATGCAATAACTAGCAAACTGCATCTTAAGAGTTATCTTATTCAGAGGAAACAGCTAGTTGTTAATTGGTATTAAATTATGTAAAAGCCAGTTTGCCAACTTAATTTTTAATAACTATTTCGTGGTCAAAACTTATTATTTTTAAGATAGGCTAGGATAATTCATTATATATTTGTTTGTGAGAAACGTAAATTCTTACACCTCAGAAAAGTGCAACTCTACAGGCCTTTGGATTGGGGCATTATACCTCTTTGATTGAATATTAAAGTTTTCCAGCATGCATTGGTCAATGCAGTCTTATTGGACGGGGAGAGAGAGAGAGAGAGAGAGAGAGAGAGAGAGAGAGAGAGAGAGAGAGAGAGCATGTGCGATGTACAGACCTCAGTGGCAACATGCAGACCCCATCAACTTCTAATAGAAAATGTGGACTTCCTTCTGCAACATGAATGTCAATTTACAATAATTGTTCGTGATCTCAACCAACTTTGATGACTTTCTTGCAGTGTTTGACACGAGAAACTTTCATTCATTTCCTTATTCACATCTCTGGCTTCTCCCTCGACTCAGTAATGAGTGTTCTACAGGAAGGCATAGTCACTACCAACCTTTTGGTTATGTTGGATCATGTTACCACAAGGCTGTCTTTACGACACTGAAGATTTCAACAGAAGGAGGTAAAGAATCTGGCTTAGGGAAGAGGAAACCAGCCGGCCCTTTGCTCTAAACTCGCCACCTCCGATTGGCATTCTCTTCATTAAGGTGATGTTGACAGCCAAGTAAATGCCTTCACTGAACACAGCCATAATCTCCAACAAGAACACATCCCTTACCGGCAGCATGAGACGAAGCCTACAGATCAGCCTTGGTTCGGCTTTCTTTATCGAGAGGCTGCTGATGTTGCTAAGCACATGGCTTGGATAAAGTATAAGAGGCATCCCACTATCTATAACAGGAACCTGTACAGGTAAGCATATTGTCAAATGGGAGAAGTCCAAACGCGGGCCATCTGTAGATGGGAGGCTAAAACAAAAAGAAAGCAGGCATCTGGTAGAGTGGGCTTGAGAACGTGTTGGTTCATGGCCAAAGACCGACATAGTCATGCAATTGATTTAATTATTCCACCTCTGTATCGGCAGGAAGGAACCAGACAGGAGAAAGCCGACCTTTTTGCCGAACACTTTGCTGCCACGATGCAAGTTCCTGATCCAGCAAGGGAACTCTCCATGACTAGCCGCAAGGCTGTGTCAGTGGTGACAATAAGACAGGATGAAGTGTATCTTCTTAAATAGCTGGACCAAGAAAAGGCTGTGGGCCCAGATAAGTTGAGCCCAAGATTCCTGACCAGTGTCACTCCTGTCAATCACTGGCAAGATCCTTTCAAATGAGCTGATGTAGGTAACAGCTCTTAGCTTGCCAATAAAGTTAGGAATCATTAACCTGTAAATAGCTTGTCAATAAAGCTAGGGATCCTTAACCTTGTCAAACCCTGTGTAAAAAAAAAAAAAAAAAAAAAAAAAAAATCTCAAGACAAATGGCAGAGTTTTTTGACTTCCACTCGTATCTTTGTGACCGTCAAATTGCTTCAGAAAGTTAACTCTACTCCACTCTAAGTGGAGAGGTTTAACTGTGTAGTAGCACTGGACATTGCTGGTACTTTCGACCGAGTATGGGAACAGGGATTGTTGGCATAACTGCAAGCACTTGAAATCGCAATCTCTACACTATGACTTCTCAGTGATTACCTTTCGGGTAATCTCTAGCGTAGTTTTCAAAGAGACATAGTTAGCAGGACATCCTATTGGTGCAAGTTTTTCACAAGGAAGTGTGCTTGGGCCAGTGTTATGGAATGTCTTATTCAATGACTTTCTTCATATCATACCAGAAAACCAGGTACATGCAGACGGCTGTACCCGGACGTTTACTTATCCAAGAGAGGAAGTGCCAACTGCTCTTAGTTACATCATTTGCCAGGTTTCATCTATATCAGCCTGGAGAAAACGCTGGTAGGTCACATTTGCTACTGAGAAAAAGCAAATCATGATTATCTTCTCTAGGCACTATGATGGTAATGCTGGGGCAGTGGTAAGAATGAATGGAAGAGTGTTCATATCTGGGGTCGAATTTGATATCCCTGGGGTGAAATCTGGCTCCAAACTAACCATGAAGAACCACGATGTAAATACTGCAAACAAAGGTGCCAAGAAGCTTACAGAACCTCGACCTCTACTGTCGAGCAGTGGAGGTTGCAAGATTCTGTACGAGGCACAGGTAGGTTCACACTTTAAATATGCTCTGCTTTCTAGAATTGCCTGCCCTCTGTCTCATCTGCGACCTCATGATAGAATGGAGAAGAGAGCAAGACGGATCATCTCTCACCTGGGTCCAGTCTGGATAGTTCTGTTATTTCAGTAGAGCCTTCAACATAGCAGGGACGTGGATGACCTAATTGTTTTGTACAAGGTTAATATTGTCAAAGTACCTCACTTGGCTCCACCCGAGGGCAGTGAGAAGTGAGTTTCTATACAAGACGGGCAGCAAGCAACAAATACACTCTGAGATAATTTATTCTTAGGATGACTCGAGTCTGGAACATATTTGTACAGCATAATGACATCCACGAAATAAAGTCATTTGACCATGTAAAATTCCAGGCCCACAGATGTCTTCAATTTCATCATTTCATCTATTTGTATGTCTCATAGTAATAACAGGTTCTTAAATGATCTGAGGTAGGAAGCAGCTCTTAGCATGTAAATTGAGTTAGGAACTCTTAAACTAACCCTGTGAAACCCTTGTGTAAATAAGAGTGAGAACCATAGAGAGAGAGAGAGAGAGAGAGAGAGAGAGAGAGAGAGAAAAGAGAGAGAGATGGACAAAGACAGAGATGCAGATAGACAGACAGATGGACAAAGACAGACAGACAGATGGACAACGACAAAGAGGCAGATAGACAGACAGACAGATGGAGAGAGAGTCACTGACTTTGATCGAACGACTGACTAAATTGTGTATTTAATGACCAAAAATATTAACATGGAACGTAGTTTACTTTATGTATGTTATAATGCTTGTTCAGTACCATTGTATCATTAAGACTTGTGAGACTAAGTATACTAAGTGTTTACTCTACAGGACTCCAGTACCTGGCAGCTCTCAACTGGAACAGTAATACAGTACGACCTCTTGTTATGAAGGTAAGTTACCTCAGATATTTCTTGCTCACAATTTATAAAATAAGATATTTTTAAATTTATTTAAGTTGGCTGGATATACATAGTAACAATGTATACCCATCATATGTAAATATGTATATCTGCATGTAAACGGATTGAATTAGTAAGTGTTAAGTGAATAACAAGACTGAGAAGATCAGATAATAGAGAAAGAGAGGCTAGAAATTAAAAAATGCAGCTTTCCGGCGATAAACAATATTCTGCATTACACGCAATTAGGAATCACTCAATGACTCCATGTCTCTGCCTACATCACAGTATTTCTTTTTGTAATAAATTTCATTTTCTAGGTATCTTCTCTCTTCTTGATCGACCTTGATCGTGGAACACATTTTTAGTATGTGGTAATGCTTAGACTTTTCTCCTTTCGTCATAGATTTTTATAATTGCTAAGATGCATTTAGAGACCTCTGAGAACTTTTAATAATAATGTTTTAAAATACATTTACCAAATGCTGGTTATTTTAACATGGTATGACACCATTTATTAGTATTGGATGTTTTATTCTTCTAATTTCATTGTTAATTAATTTTATCATTTTTTTCCTGTGTGAATGAGAGCTGAATTACTTACATGGTCAAATCGTAGGTCATGTGAAATATTAAAATTACCTGGATGAACCTCATAAGATACATACTAGTAATTGGTAACAAATATAATTATTCTTTATCAAGGTTACAGAGACATGTAGGAATTTTAGGACATCCTAGGTCGCAAAAAATGTGCCCCTTCGATTCCTACTACTCTCATATCTCCACAAGTCACTCTGGACCTACATTAATTTCAAATGAAGTACACATCACCAGAAATTCTGGTAAATCATTAATATAAATATGTGGACTGTATGTTAAATTTAGTTAATGAATTTATATTAATACCACTCTCCAATTTGTCTGGAGATTACTTGGTCACACATAAACCCCTGCCTAAAATGTGAAGAAAATACTGGCCAGAATTTCATCATAAATATGGACATGACTTAACCGGGGTTCCCGGATTGTTCAGTCCACTCGCTGCCTTCTCACGTTCTGCAGGACTGCAATTCCAACAATTTCTGCTCCTATTTGAGGGGTTTCAACCACAATTTAACCTCCAGAGCGACGAAATTTATTCACGTTACACTAGCGTGTCTTAGCCCCTTCCCCAAACAATGGCGTCTCCTTTCTCAAGTGACGCTAACACTGTTGTTGGTTCCTGTTTTATTTACAAATTAATTTTTATTAACTTCAATGTATTTCACTAATTTACATACAAAATACACTGTATTTTTGGAAAACATGCAGTATTTTCCACACTGCGGCCGAGCGGAATTCGTTGCTAAACGACTCAAATTGCTCCTTCCTCTAGGAGACGATTCCAGCCAGTTCTGGCTTGAGTGGCTGTTTTCCTAGTAGGTCTTACCACAATTTCATCTTCTTGCATTGCTTGGTGAAAACTATCTTCAATATCAGTCGTGTCACTTTCCCTAAGAGTCCAAGGGAATCAATTTATTAATCGTGCGTTAACTTTCCTGGCCACGACACAACACTTTGACATTCCTGACAACACCTTGTGCATCTGGATACAATGTCAATACTTGGCCCAGAGGCCACAATGTTTGATGCTTTTCAGTATCAATTAACACAATATCACCTGGTTGAATGTTCTGCCAATTTACTGCCTCTGTAGCACCATAAGAGTGTTCACGTAGAGTAAGAAGATATTCCTTGCTCCACACATTACACCAATGATCACTTACTTTATTTAACATCTTAAATTTATCACACAACACTGCTGCATCATTGTAATCTTCATCACTTTCTTCAGGATTATTTCTATAGACAGGGGTAGTTTCCAATTTCCTTCCACATATTAGGTGAGAAGGTGTTAATACATCTGCATCAGGTGTATCACTCATGTATGAGAGAGGGCGATTATTTATCCGATTCTCCGCCTCCACCAACACTGCATGGAATTCCTCCAAATTAATTCTCTTCCTGTGTAGTACTTTATGGAGACACCACTGTGCCTATCAGTCTTTCGTACAGCCCCCCCTGCCAAAGGGCTCTGAGAGTAATAAATTTCCAGGTACACCCTCGTTGGGTTAACAGGGACTGAACATCATTAGTCTTATTTAATTCTATCAAGTGTTGAGCACCCGCTACAAAATTGGTGGCATTATCCGAAATCATCAATCTCGGACAGGATCTCCTAGCTGCAAATTTTCGAAACAGCTGTATAAACTGTTCTGCAGACAAGTCCTGAGCCACTTCTAAATGAACTGCCCTAGTAGCAGTACAGGTGAACAAGTATACATACACTTTCAGTGGAACACCATCTGAAGTACCTGTTAAAATGATTGGACCACTATAGCCTACACCTGTTACATCAAATGGTTTCACTAATTGTACACACTCCTTTGGCAATGGTGGAGGACCTGGGTACATATAGGATCTGGCATCCACATGGCAACATATTACACAAGATTTAATGACCCTTTTTACACTTTGCCGTCCTTGTGGAATCCAGAATGTTTCCCTAATACAATTTAAGGTATCCTGTACCCCACCATGCATTACATTTTTATGGGCATTTAAATTGTTAGATGATGAGTTTTGGGCAGTAAGATAGGGTGTTTAGCATAATCACCCAATTCAGCATTTTGTAACCTACCTCTGCACCTAATTACATTGTTCTCTAAATACAGCCCCAATTTCTCTATTATGGAACCCTTCACAATTTTTCTTTCCATAATCAATTTAATCTCATTTCCATAGATTTCTTCCTGTAGCCTCTGTATCCAATATTCAAGAGGATGTGAAAAATTGTATGAGACATTCATTTTGTTTAGAAATTTAAACACCAACTTAGTTACATTGATTAGTTTGGGTAAAGAAGAATACCTATTTATATCAGTGGCTAAGGAAGGACAAACTATTGAAGCGCTGATCACAGTAATTTCAACAGGAGCAATATAGGCCTTTTGTATAAGCCAATTAACTATTTACCAATCAGCTCGGTCCTTTAAAACATGATACAGCATTTACGAATTTAGCATAAGGTAAATCTCAAGACAAGAATTCAGTTGGATTCTCCTCACCAGGTATATGATTAAATGTTAACATATGCTGAACCAAACTATTATATTTCTCTTGCATCTGATTAATTTCAGCGACTGTGTTTTGTACGTACACAATTTTACTGTTTCCATTACGAATCCATTGTAAGGATACCTCATTATCAGACCAAATTACAGTGTCGCTAATATTTATCTCCTGCAACTTATTTCTTATATAATTAGTGAATTTGACACCTACATAAATGGCTGTTAATTCCAACTGAGGTAAGGTACATGATTTAATTGGAGACACTTTTGTCTTAGACATAAGAGAAATAACACTATTACATTAAAGGTAAGCGACTGCTCCATACGCCAAATTTGAAGCATCGCAAAAAATGTGGAGTATATTTTTTCCATCTGGATTGGCCACCTGGTGTGGGAACTCCAACATTGGAATTTTTTCATAACCACCAATTAATTCTTCCCACCTGTTAATGAATTCCTAAGGTAGAGTTTCATCCCAAGCACATTTAAGCTTCCATGCTTCTTGGATTAACAATTTCTCTCTTATAGTAAGGGGTGACACTAAGCCTAGTGGATCAAAACATTTAGAAACTTCAGCTAGCAAGACTCTCTTGGTTAATTTATTGGGCATACTGTAATTATTACGTTTAAACATTAACAAGTCTCTCTCAGTATCCCAAGTTAATCCCAATACATTACTACATTTTGGTACTTCATCTCCAGGGTAATCTTTATTTATTTTGTCCTTTAATTTGGACGCATTACTATTCCATTCCCTCATAGGCATATTTGCACTTTGCATTATTTTATTACCCTTTCCATATGTCATTAACAGTTCCTCTTCAGTTGACGTCACACACAGGAAATTGTCCACATAAAATTGTTTACTCATTACCTTACTCAATGGACTTCTCATACGTTTAAGGTGTGCATTTATCGTCGCTTGAAGTAGGAACGGACTGGATGTAGCACCAAATAATACGCTCCTAAAGCGAAAGGTTTTCAGAGGGTTAAGTGGATCAATAGGATTCTCAGGCCATAAGAAGCAGGTACAATCCCGGTCAGCCTCTTGTAAACTCACTCTTTGGAAAGCTTTACTTATGTCAGCTATAAAGGCATAATTCTTCATCCTGAAATTTAATAAGATATCTCCTAATTTTTCCGTCAACGACGGACCTGTCATCAAACAGTCATTTAAACTAGGCACATTTTTGTTACTCCTGGCACTACAATTAAACACAATCCTCAGAGGAGTGGTCTTAGAATCCTTCTTCACTTCGTGATGTGGCAAACAGTGACCATAAATTTTGGCTTGCTCAGGAGGTACCTCCTCTATAAATTTATTATTTAACTGTTCAATAATTATATCATTATAGGCAGTCAACAATTCTGGTGTCTTACTCAGTTCACGGAGTTGAGCCTTTAATTGTCCATATGCCATCCTGTAATTAGTGGGCAATCCTGGATGGTTCAGTCTCCACGGAAGTCGCACCCAGTGTTGGCCAGATTCAAATTTTACATTTCTCATGTACTGTTCCTGAGTAAAAGATTTGTCTGAACTTTCCTCATTTACATTGATTCCAATGCTGTCTAATTCCCACAATTTATTCACTGGTTCAACACCTTCCTTTATGGAAGAATTATACTGGGGCACGATTTCATGAGTAAGACACACAGTGATGGTATTTATAGTTTCCTCTAGCCATGCATTATTATTACGAGGAATCCTACCATACATTACATGGCCTCCTGCAGTCTTTAATTAAAAGGGTGACACCACATTTCTTTGTCATACCCTTTACAAAGGAGGCATAATAGTCACTACCTATCAAAATATTTATTGGGCCTAAAGAATTATCATTTACACCAGAAGGTGCTAAATTTACAGGATGTGAAAGCTTTTCTGTAGTTTTACTAAGCCCAATTGTAGATTTTTTTCTCTGGGAGCCTATCTACAATTGCTGCATTAATACATTTTTTCTCATTGCCCAAACTGACAGTTACATAAACAGTGTCATACAATTGAACCCTTTTATCTGATAGAAAACCAGATAATTTTAGAGTTGTAGGATCTCCCATTTGCACCTTCATTCCATTAAGGCATTTACGTTTTATGAAAGTACGTTGTGATCCCTGGTCTAACAATGCATTTACATTTTTTAATTTATGCCTTTTATCATCAATTTTTGCCTCTAACACAGGTAAGGCTACTTCAGCAAAACCATCATTATTAACATTAGCAGCAATCTTTACATTAGCTTCTGTTGTATCAGGGTTGTCAACGTTATCATTATTATCACCATTATCATATAAACCCTTACACATGACTAAATGGTGCCTTTCTTTGTGACATTGATAACAGTTGTTTAATTTGGCATGACAATCCTTTACATTGTGATTACCTAGACATCTGATACATTTGTCAAGTTCTTCCAATCTTTCAACTTTATCATCCCATGAATTGTATGCATTGCAATTCTTAGAAAAATGAGTACCCTTGCAGAAGAGACAATCTCTCTTTTCTTGATTGGTTTCTTATTAAGTGGACTACTCTTAGGAAGGCAGTTATTCTTCTTTGTGGAGAATCACTATTTCTCATTCCTGCTACTTGATATGCACCTATGCAACTCTTTTCAGGAGATGAATTTTGATTGATAACATTGGGATAATTTTTCCCTTTGTGAAACTTGACAGATACCTCAGAGTTATTACGTGTTGCATCTTTAAAATGAGTTAGTTGGCTGGTCTGCAACTGAACAATTAATTCTTGTAGACCTAGTCTTATTTCCTCTAGGCCAAAATAACCTTTGTGATAATTGTTCGAGACCATTCAAGTGTTTTACAGCTTAATTTATTCTGTACAATGGCACTTAATAACCAGTCTGATTCCTTCAGATTATATTTATTACTTAAAGTTTTGAGAGTGCTCTCCAGTTTAACTCTAAACTGTTGTAAACCTTTGTAAGTGTAATCTGGAGTTTTTAAATTAACAGTGATAGATACTAAAGCCAACCTACTTTGTTCTATATTGCCATAAGTGACTTTCAACAAGTCAACTGTTTCCTTGTAAGAATCATCTACATTGGGAAAGGCTTGAATGAGTATGTGAGCATCTCCTCTTACCTGTCCTTTGAGGTAAAATAATTTAGTTACACAGGCTAGATCACTGCTTTAAAAATTGACCAAAACTCCTTCTAGTTTTCTCCAGGATTAAATACAAATAAACATAATTCTGGGAGTTTTGGCAAAGACATCTTATTTACTTGTATAGGTTGACTAACTGCCTGGGTTACACCTTTTAAATTATTCAAAGACTGGCTTTTACAAGAAAGAATTTTTTTTTTCTAATTCATAATACTGGTTAATCATAAGATCCATTTCTGTCTCATCTGCACAATTTACTAACAAATCTCCTTCATATTTTTTTGTAAAATAATTTGTATGAATCATATCTATTCCCTAAAGCATCTAAATACATTTTTAAATCATCAGTATTCACAGTTTCCTGATTCATTAATTCCAAACATTTATTGTATGCCTTTGTTACATGGCCCTTTCGAGACTGTAATGATGTTTTCTTGGTTCTAAATTCCTTGGGCTTGTCATCTACATTAATTTCCTCATTTTCACCCATGGTGCAAAATATTAAATTCAACTTAATTAATAACACTGATTATGTACTTAATTATGCACTTTATAAAGGTAAATATTACAACTTACCCTTGAATAAATCCTAGCTACACTTGAGCGTAGCAAAATCATTATTGTAGTAATTATAATCCACTACACAATTAAGTAAATTTGTGGACCCAATATCCACTTCCTTCAGTCATGTCACTTATAATTATTAAATAATTAATTCACTAATTAATGACTTCACTAATTACATCCGGTTCGAACAAGGACCAATGGTCAACTATGTGGAATATTAAAATTATCTGGATGAACCTCATAAGATACATACTAGCAACTGGTAACAAAGATAATTATTCTTTATCAAGGTTACAGAGACATAGGAATTTCAGGACATCCTAGGTCGCAAAAAATGTCCTCCTTCGATACCGACTCCATTCATATCTCCACAAGTCAATCTGGACCTATATTTCAAATGAAATACACATCACCAGAAATTCTGGTAAATCATAAATATAAACATGTGGACTGTAAAATTTAGTTAATGAATATATATATTTATATATCAGAAGGAGAATTTATATTAATACCACTCACCAATTTGTCTGGAGATTACTTGGTGTGTCACACATAAACCCTTGCCTAAAATATGAAGAAAATACTGGCCAAAATTTCATTATAAATATAAATATGACCTAACTGGGGTTCCCTGATTGTCCTGTCCACTTGCCTTCCTCTCATGTTCTGCAGAACTGTAATTCCAACAATTTCTGCTCCTATTTGAGGGGTTTCAACCACAATTTAACCTCCAGAGCGACGAAAAATATTCACGTTTCACTAGCGTGTCTTAGCCCTTTCCCAAAACAATGGCGTCTCCCTTCCCAAGCGACGCTAACACACTGTCGCTGGTTCCCTTTTATTTACAAATTAATTTTTGTTAACTACAATGTATTTCACTAATTTACATAGAAAATACACTGTATTTTCGGAAAATATACAGTATTTTCTACAGGTCATATGAAAGCCCTGAATGATCTTCGTCCAGTTTCCAGTTATCTTACTACCCTCCAACCTCCACAGATAGTGATGGTGAACCAGAGCAGTACACTGCACGCCACTTATGGCAATCTGGTGATCAACAAAAACGACGGCAAATACACACTCAACAGCCTCGGCGACTACCAGGGCAATTCAGGTGAGTACCGACACGTAAACCTGCCTCTCTTCCTCAAAAACAATGCAAAGTAAAGCAAGCGAAGAATGCTTTGCTTGGTTTTATAGGGGTTCAGCTTCGATGATGAGATATATTAAGAAGAGGTTTTTGTGAGAGGAGCGTCATGGAGGTGAAGGTGGGAAAGATTCACTCTCATCGTGTGTTAAGTTGTTAATTTGTATGCATATGTTGTAAATACAAACGTCAGAAGTGTTTTTTCCAAGACAACTAGCGCGAGGCCTGATGCATAACTCAGTATCCTTGTACCTGTTTAGAAAAAAAAATTAGCCTTGTTTATATAATTAGTATATCTAAAAAGGAGAGCTGAAGACTCCAGTCTGTAGATTTATAATTTCTATAATATAACTGGAGTTTTGTTTCTGGAAGTTATTCTAATTCTAACCTACAGATATTCCTGAAGCCAGACTAGAAGGTGGTCGAAAACTTCTTTGCATATCAGGAGGAAGAAAATTACGATTGCATTGGCTTGAAATTCTTTGTAGGGTTGATGAAGATTACTACACTGAAGGACCTGACTGAACAGTGACAACAGTCTTTGTTACTGAAGCCTTTCGTAAAACCGAAGATGTATTGGAGCAGGGGAGCCAAGATTCCAATGCTGCCGTTTTATTTATGTATCTCCGAAGGGGGAACCTGTAAGAGGTTGCCTTAATTTTGT